CACGGACCTTGGACTCTTGAAATTGATGTCTGCTGCCTGGCTGAGATAAGAATCTAAAATTCCAACATAGTCTACTCGCTGCCGTTACCGATCCACAAACACACTGGCTTCCATCTGTCTTTCGAGTGACGCTGAGTCTGCCGCATCTGAACAAGCTTGTGTTGGTATCGTCCTCAGTGCAAGAGTCGTGACCACCCTCCTTGATTGGATTCCAATCAACAGTCGTCTTTGTGCTATGAGCCACCGCGGCTCTTGGAAGGTCAGCAGACGTCCATCTGACAAACGTGATCTCAGCCTAGGCGTCCACTGACTACAACTCGGTTACATTCAAGGACCAGTTCTGTCGAAATCTGCTCCTAAGGCCAGTGAAGACAGATATCAATGTTACAGTAGTAGACTTCAATTCACGTGTCTGTCGATTGCTGCCATCTGAATGCTTTTTCGGGGGACCGCATAGAAATGACGTTCGCTAAGACACAGGTGAAAGATGGATTAGTCTATGTACTGACCAACAGGTTTTCCTTTCTAGCGCAAGCTTTCGTCATCACAGACGTAACTATACTATCTGGCGAGCCCTATCGCTCTCTCAGTGTTGGTCTCAAATCGAGCACCTAGTCCTGTCGCAAGTGGCGTTGCAACATACGGGATCGCGGATCATGATGACCAACTTAGGCCGAAATCGACAATACATTGCTGTGTGCGTCAGTTTGCATAGATTTCCGTGGCTTCCATGGAGCGGAAGAAATCCGACTGAACACTTGTCAATCGGAACGCTAAACAGTGTAAGTGGAGTATCAACGGAGGTTTCGAGAAAGTCACGTTCTCTACCATTCACTGCATGTTGACTAGCAACTTTCAGGCTTGCAAAAAACCATGTTGTCTGCAGGTTTGTCCAGCTGCGGCATCACCCATCGCACAGACAAACGCCGGATCTTGGGACTGCTAGATGATCGAGGAGCTGTACCCGCAGGTGTGGAACATAAAAATTCCGCCGGTCCAGTTCTCAACTAGTTAAAGCAAATCGTTGTTACCGTGAATCCTGGTGGTCAAGAAGAGCTGCTGAGATGCAAGCCGCTGCATCCGTTGGAAACTGTCACAGTTTGTTTACCTCATCAATGAAGCCGGTCGCAATTCAAATTCGACCAGTAAGGCAATCTGTGAGCTAGACAGCATGTAATCTTAAACTAATGTTAAGATTCAGATGCTTGAGTGGAGATTTTGCTCTGCAATTTAATTACCTAGCGCAGTCCTCTGTGACACTTGCATCTCCATTGAATACTGCTTAGTCTGTCCCCAAAGAGCCTCCCCTACTGACGCAGAGATCCCAGACGAATCCAATATTTGAGACGTCATAAAACCCCAGGCTCTGACACTCTCTAGTCAGCGAATGAACGTGTCAACGAAATCCTACCGCTGTTCACGAAGGACCGGACTAACGAGAAAGGGGGAATCTATCTTTGTCCGGAGCCGCAATAAAGGTTCTCGTGAAGATTGCGCTAATTGCTGCGGAATCCCGTTGAACTAGGTTGCGTCCAAACTTTTTGTATCCATCTTACTTCGCAGGACACCAGAGACAAGAGAGGATTATTCCAGGGAGGAAGAAGCCAGTTTTCGTCAAAAATGAGAATGTATCAACTACATATACATGCTCCGTAGGCTTCTCCAGCTCTGCCGCGTCCACCGACGACCCACAATCCTAGCGTTCCGAGACATATGGGCAGAATTTGATTCTGTAGATAAGCCTCCTTTGTGGAACCGTTTACAAAAAAATGTGCCCTAGTAGTTTGTAAACCTCATCATCATCAACAACAGCATTCCATCAGTCATTATTACTGATACTTCGCTGCCGAACAACCATGGTAACTTACGGAAAAAAGAATAACAGGGAGAGAAGGGGGATTTACCGGTAAACATTAATGCCTTAAGCACACACTCGGGGTCAACGCGCCTACACCTTGTGTAGATAACATACCGTCACAAACAGCTATCGTGCAAAGAGGAGGTGGCATCGGCAAAACAGCTTCCTTGCGGCTTTCAGAATCCCACGTCGTAATCAGCCATTATCCCGCAGATAACAAAGCACAAAATAGACAATAAACAGGCAGTTCAAATACAAGACGACAGCATACACGCCACTGGTGTCAACTGTAATCTATGTCCTGTAACGTCCAGAGCCAAGCACATGTCGGGTCACGTGGTCTCTATACTGGAAGGCGAGGCGGACCAACAGCACCAAGTTTGGCCGTCAGTGACTTCATTTTCCGCTGTCAAGTTAATTTTTTGCACACCTCTGGTCTTGCGCCACCCTACCTCTGGCAGACAGAACGGCTCTCCTCGATAAGCGGTGACCGGACACGCGCCCAATCTAACGTAGGCTATTCCGTGCTATCGTGTTCTAAGGAAATAGCCTGGTCACCACTGCCTAGTACTAGCTCACGCACATCATCGTTACGGACACGGTGGTTTATAAACGTCCTGGAATAACTGTAGTCACACGTCGGGGAAAGTTAGGACTTAAAGCAGGCTATCCTCCTCGTTTACTAACACCAGCAAAGCACGTCAACGCTGCCTTATTTCATCTTTTCTCTTCAATAGTTTAATAAGCAGCAGGCGTCTAGAAGTGCGGTCTTGAGCTTCCCCTTGGAGAAAGCGTTGCAGACTTATTTTACAGTCAAACCTGTTTAAGGTGACCACTCAACGGACCGACAAAAAGTGATCACCTTGGACAGGTGGTAGTCATGGATAGGTTCACCCATAGGGATATTACTCATGAGAGAAAACTTGGTGGATATGTTTGGCTGGTCGTCATAGGCAAGTGGTGCCCATAGCAGGCTGGACTGTACAACGATGATTTAGCTTTATTGGGGGAGGGTAGCTCACAAACAGTCTAGAGAACTGTGAGGAGCTAAGCGACTAAGGTGTCCAAACACGGCCTGTACTTCACACAAGCCAAATACAAAACACTACCCCAGGATTGGCAGGCGCCTGTGCCCGCGCTCAATAGTACGGTTGACATTCGAGAACAATTCGATTGCTTCATTTAGCTAGAAAGTTGCGTCACGGCTGACAGCTCTGTTGAAGGGAAGTATCACAACGGATCACAAAGGCTGGTCTTGCTTTCACCAGAATGAGACGCCTACGGTGTCACTGCGATGCCATTCTCAGGTCCAAGGACAGAGTGCACGGTACCTCCGTCCGCACGATCTTGATGAGCACCTGTGAGACCTGACCTGTTCGCTCGGAGAACATGAAACCATTGTTAAGTTTTGATAGCTGTTGTCTGCATATGGCAGTAACATCACGTAAACAATACGGAAGTTGGTGACAAAGCACTAGCAGAGAGAACAGTCCTAACTCCAAAATTTTATCCGACACAGCATGCGATGGCTCGGCCAGGTACTGCGTATTCAAATCCATTACCTTCCTCGTCGAGCGTTATTCGTGCTTTCAGTGGGCGTTTGGAAGAAATGTAGAGATGGGCGATGGGTGGAGAAGAAGTATGAAGAAGGCGACCTCATGCTTACCATCTAGTCCACGTTCGAAGCTGGCGACCACGCGACAATAACTCCCAGTATTTACAAATGCTGTATGTTATGACCGCACAACAGACATACTTAGTGCCAGGGTTGTTCTCCCGTAGCACCTAACAGTTGATGTTCAGGTGAAGGACATAAAGTCTCACAAAGCCGTGTGCTCAGTATAGTTCAACTGAAAAACACTTATCTGCTCATTGAAGTGCAATGAATTCAGTTGGCACGATTCAAGTCGTCAGAAGAAAAATAAATAACAACAGTAATAAGTCATCAGCAGTACGCCAGTACACCGTACTGACGCCTCGCTGCCGCGCGATCACCATCGGTCGCGCGTGCGCTGAGTATACGGCAAGGACGCCCGCCCCTACGCGGATTTGAACCGGCGACCTAGGAACTGCAAGCCAGGCGTGCAATGCTTTCGGCTACCTGTCGACGGTAAGAAAATGAAATAGAAAGCAAACAGAATACAAAGAAAATGATAAGGAAGTGGATGGAATGAAAGTTAACAACCAGATGCAACAAACCGAATTTACGAACCACAGTGACTGCGCAATGTCCGAGAGTCTCCAACCATTGATGTGGACTATCGCGTTTGTAGCATTTTGTGGATAACTTATGTAATAGTTCGTACTTATCGTGGATTCGTTGCTAACCAACTTTCTTCATATGTTAATTTAGCAAAGAGTTTTGTCGGCATAGCCGTACGCTTTAAGTTATACTTTTTAACAATGTTATTTCAAGTGATTGGCTGCTGCTTGATATCCTCGGTTTGACTACGCTTGATGTGCATGTTGACAAGGTGCCTACATGTCTATTACCAACTACCTCGTCCATACTGGCTCCAGGAGACAGTTGGTCGTTGCAGCAGGGGACGGGGTGCACGGTCCTTGTGGTCGTGCTAGGCTCGAAGAGCGGTTCCATTCACTCAGTGTGGAGCGGACTAGGTTCAGCCACGACCTTGTGTGCGCTTGATTCCCAAATACAGCGATATATATATATATATATATATATATATCGGTGGTTTGCGCTGCGCCACACGTGCGCCAATCCACACCCCCCATATCCAGTGTAAAGTCAAAGGAATAACACGCGGAGGCATGTGAATGGGGGCCACGTTTCATCAAGGGAGCCGGCCCACACTTCTTCAACATGCATAGTAGCAGCATCCCTGTCTATCTATGTAGAGAAGCATGCGTACCAGTCTGCAATGTGACAGGTGATCTGACGTAAAGTTGATGGAATATGGTTAAGTTAAAAATAATGGTTACGAACCTGTTCTAGTTTCTGATTCCGAAGACTCGGTATTAAAAAAAGTGCCTTCAGTAAATGTACGGTGCACAAATACGAAAGAGACGGTAGAGAGTGAGTGATCACAAGTGGACGCAAAAATACAAGACTAAGCGACCTATTTGTGGATAATTTGAGGACTCCCAGTAGAAAGGAATACGAGACGTATCAAATGAACACCTTGTTTTGATTCCAAAGTTCGATGAATCCATCGCAGTACATCCGTAACAGCTCAGGAGTAAGACGTGTGAGACACCAGTGATGCAGGGAAAAACAGTTCTCAAGGCCCTGAAATGCCAAAGTGAAAGACATATTTTGACGTCAAAAGTTTGGTTACCAACTAAAAAGCGCAGGGAAGACAAGGTTAATTCGAAGATAAAAGCAGGTAGGGAACAAAACGGTAGAAATTACCGACGAATGTACCTAGAGCTAAGCGACAGCGTTACAAAAGCTATAACACGTGTTTGTTAAAGGCAAAGGCGGCGGAAGAGTAGAAAAGTTGGAAAATATCTCATTAAAGCGTTGGAGGGTGTTAGACAGTGAACCAATAAAGAGGTACAGCGTCTTACTTCTGACGTAGGTGCAAAGTCAAATCGCGCACATATGTGTTCACTGGGGCATGGTCGAGTACAGCAAAACGAATGAAACCATGGTTTAAGGACCTGGTTGCAATTTGATGCATGATATCTATCCTGACAGGAGCTTCGTGATCTAGCGCACACGAGTCAACACAAGTGTTCATAGCTGCATGTGTTGTGGGGTTAGGGATGTTCGGTCCAGTTGACAAGTAGCCAAGCTCCGTGCTCCGCAAGGACTGAGTGCAGAATACCGAATACTATGGTGTGACCACGCAACTTGTTATATAAAGGTTGACAAGACTAATGGGAATGTTTTGAATACGTATGATGGAATACACTGCCTCTTGACAGTGAAATGCAAAACCGGGATCCGGTGAACTATAGTGCTATGATCGACTAGCCTAAGATTTCGCTAACAGCACAAATAGGTGATTCTGATGCACCGATAGTCTCGAAACGTGGTGATTACGGTCTTCAGCGCGAATACTGTAAACCAGTGAAAAAAGTATTCGGCAACTGAGGAGTGTCGTCATTAAGGCTGTCAGAAAATTGTCATATTCCACCGTATAACCGATCTACCATGGTTACCCATCAACCGCTGACGGCTATCCCGCACGATGAAGAAGTCGATGAAAAAACACAACAACGAATCGAACGATTAAGACCAGGAGAAAGTTCTGATCACGAGATCTTGTATAGACTATGAACAAATAAAAAAACGCAGAATGCTCTACTCCGAACTGCTTCGCGTCGGCCCGTAGCCTAGAGGTAATGAGCTTATTTCGTAATCTACCGGCGCGGGTTCGAATCCGCGTATGGGGTAGGCCTCTTCGCGGTATACACAGCCCGCGTGCGACTGATGGTGGTCGCAAGGCAGTGAAGCGCCGTCGCGGCGCACAGCTGGCACGTTATTATTGTTGTTATTATTATTACTGTTTTGCACTAATGTCAAGATGCCTGAGACACAATAGCAGCAAAGCACATCGAATCATTCAGTGGTTACATGCAAGCAATTCTTGAGACTGCCTAACTTGATATCTTCTAAGCATACATAGTAGCTAAACCTGTTCTAGGAAATGCTTGCTAGACAGCTGACAATGGCACGCAGTTGCTGGAAAAATGTAGATCGATGTCCAGGACATTATCAAATCGGAAACAAGTACAGAAACTTACTAACACAGAACGACGAATATCCCCAAGCAACGACAAACATTCATGTTAACAAGATGATCCCATCCCAAGATGCCGTTAACCGCACACTCAGGACACTGACTATTGCCCATGTCCATTGGAAAAAGTGCAGTATAAGCAGGAATAAGAAGATAAAGCTTCAAACGAAATGGTCTAACACTTAACTTGATAGCAGGGGTCGTCCCAACGTTTACTTTAAAAATCACAAACGCTCGTCGATTGGTTTTAGTGGTATTTAATGTGTCCATATGCAATTAGATCTATCTATAAGGCGCTGGGAATCCATTCCAGTAATTGACGCCTCTGTGGACAGGAGCTTCGGAACTAGCGACATTATCAGTCGGAAAGGTTAGTCAACCAGATGCAGCTACAGAGTCAGGAAGTCCTGCGTTTGATTCCGTGAATCTAGCTGTGGATATTTCAGTCCGATCAAGTATGCTCATACTTCCGCAGAAGACTTCTCCTTGCATACCACTTTGTGTTCCACTAAATCTACTCCCCCAATGTTAACTCTTGACGTCCTGACGAAGTGAATCATAGAAATCGGACCATCATTCTGCATACTTGATGAATCAAACTGAGCTAATCGTATTTCGTCGCGTTAAACTCCCGCGAAAACAGCGAACCCATAATAAAAAATAATGAAAGCTCCAAACAAGAAAAATCATTCGCACAACAGAGACCTATGCATAACGTGAACGCATCAAAAAATTAAAGGAATACGAACAGACCCATGCAAAAGAAGCAAATGCCTTTCGCAGTCCACGAGCAATCCGCCTTAATCTGAGCTGTCTCGTTGCTCGCCGCCTCTGCAGACAGGCGGTGTCAGATAAGTCTGTGAACTGGATGTAGGGAAAATTAGCATAGAACAGAAGAATCTACTCGGCTGTTGTCAGTAGACTCCTGCAGGACGCATTTTTCCAACAATCGCAGGATTTTATTCCGTATCGCCGTTCGACTGACAATCCAATTTGTGTGATTGGTACCTAGAAAGGCGCCAGGTAACAGACATGAACAAGAATTCTTACGGTATTCATCACGAAACGGGCTGGGTGAACAAAAATCCTTTGAATGGCTCTCCAACGACACACCACTGGGAATTAACCATGGTTGACAGGAGGCATCACCGATGTCAATCCAAGAATTCGAGTCGCAAGGAACTCCCAGACTGGGCTAAACAGTGCTTGTTTTTAGGCATTTTCTAGAGGAAAACTCACTTCATTGATCAAAATGGTTTCATCATTATCCATAGCATCTGCCAAGGAACTTGACTGAGCATATGAGTGATCACTTAGAACATAAGAACGACACTTCTCAAGGTAATAAAGGTCCATTCCCTAAACGTACGAAGACGAAATCGAGGCGGTACTTCGAAAACGATAAACCTTCAATCAAGACAAAGGAAGCCATGTGTAAGTTGGTAATGACGTTCACTGCATAACAAAGAAAACTCAATGAACCGTCGCGACGAGACTGGACCTAGACACAATTCCGCAGTGCGAACAACTCTCCGAAACATGGTGCTGCGTTCTGTAACATGAAAAATAATCCAGACAGATTTCACACTAGTCAATGGTCAGACAAACTGAATTTCATGGAGTTGGAAGTGGGGTAATACTCATTTCTAGGAGGGTTTCGATGTCACTCCCCTTGGCCAAGCGATGATTTGGTCGACAGGAATGAAAACTCACTTCGAAACTGGCGTTGGTTGGTGCATTCCGACTGCCTAGCAGGAGTCCTAAATACGATGAACACGTTTGGTTGGACACTTGCTGATACAGTGAACAGCCGGCCCCAATGGCGTTTGTGTTGTGAGTTGCTTTATCCATCCCCCTCCCTTAAGGTTCCCTCTCCAATCCCAATTTCATGCAAAACGCATAATATAATATTTACCATCATATTTTTGAGGGGTAATTTTAAATCTCTTATGCTTTTGAATTGCGACACATCAGCTGAGGTGTTTCTCATCCTCAGCTAAGGTATGCTGATGATGATGTCCCTGCACTCCACGACGCACTTCATCCTTGTTTGGAATCATCCAATAGAGAGAGCATGAGCTTGGAGTGGAGCTCCGCGCAAAATGGTTGGCGGCAATCGCCATCATCACTAGACCAAAGAGCTCCGCGAGATCTTGACTTTATGCATAGAGCGAAATAACTGCGCAAGATTTTCAGCGATCAAGGTTCTATCTCTAAATTTCGAGACGACTGTCGCAAGCTGGCAAAGCGTGGTGCAGACGACTATGTCACCTATGCAGAAATCGTAAACCGCGGATGATAAAAATTTCAATGTTTTTATATTACTCGTGAGTAGCAGGATTTTAGTTGTTGGCAGCCGCCTCTGGCGATCATGGGTTCGATCCCCAGCAGGGGGTCGAGGGAATGCGCACCACTGACGAGCCCTAATAGGGCGAAACGTGCCTGGTGCTTTTCCGGATTAGGATGGGCTATGTAGTTTGTGGACTACTGGGATGAAAACCTCAACAAGATTACAAGTAAAACCCAGTCACTCACGAATAATATAAAAAATGAATCGCCTCACCTAGGTTCAAATGCTATGGATACAGCGTCTAGCGAGAGGACGTCATCACCTCGCAGGATAACCATTGTCAGTGACAGTGGAAGATAGGTGGTGCTATATCCCAGTTAGATTGCAAATTATGTAAACTAGCTAACGTCCCCCATGGCACAGTGGCTTAAGCTGCTGGCTAGTTGGCATCCACCTCTAGAGGTCATGGGTTCGATCCCAGTGGAGTACCGGGGAAGTGCGCAGAACTGAGGAACCCCAATAAGGCGAAACGCGTCTGGTGGTTTCCGGACTACGCTGCGCTATGTAGTTGGTGAACTACTGGGATGAAAAACTCAACAATAATTTTAATTACATACACCCCCAGAAGATCAGTTTAAATGTCTGATTTTTGTTTCTGGTCATCAGTTTCCCCAAGAGTCAGACATCCGCATTCGACTGCTTTACAAACTTGAACACCAACCAGAGGTCACCAAAAAAGGCTCGCCGAGTGTCAACACCTGCCCTGTCTTAGGCACAACATCGCCATAGTGCAAGAATCACCGTCACCAGCTTCAAGCAGCGTTCATGCATTGACAGAAGCAACTATCCAGTCCAGACCCCAACTCCATGTTACTCAGGTAGCGAATGGCACTACGTTCGCTTTTAAACTTTCAAGGAATATCAATGTCAGAACTGTCAACCATGCGGCGTCGAAGAAGGCTTCGGCCGTCCTATGAATGTCAAAAAACCATCATCATCATCATCATTACACGTTAGCTGGAGGTGGAAAACACCTCAGCTATTGTGCCGCAATACAAAAGAAAAGAAAAGGAAAACAGTGGCACGCCAGCTGAGTCCCCAGTAACGGATGAACATCGTTCCGGAGAGCTAACAGCTGGCTGCCGTAAAAGAGAATCGTATTAGGCCTAACAGGTGAGATCGTGATTGGAGGGGGGATGCTAAACAGGAGGCGGATGGACAAAGGAAATCACAACACAAACGCCATTGGTGCCGGCTCCGAGCCATATCAGCAAGTGTGTCCAACCAAATGTGTTCACCGTCCTTAGGACCCCAGCCAGGCAGTCGGGATGCACCACCCAACGCCAACTTCGAAGTGAGGGTTTTCATTTCTCTCGACCAAGTCATCACTTGGCCTCCCCTCCTCCTCTTCCAACCGCACCCACAACGCGCAAACAATGCACGTCGCGGGAGTCGGTGGGCTGGCATGCGCAACACGTGGCCCAGCCATCGGAGCCTGGTGCGTGATATAATGATGCTGAGCGGTTCACTCGCTCTTTCTGCACCAAATACGCGACGTCGAACACGCTCATTGCTCACGCGCTGTTCCCACCAGACATGAGCTGAGCTGCGAAGGCAGCGATGATCGAATGTGACGAGCCTCTTCATGTCTGTCGACCTGATGGGCCAGGTTTCACAACCATATAGGAGAGCTGAACGAACGGCTGCGTTGTAAACTCTGCCCTTCAGGGCGAGAGTAATGTCGCGTCTGCCCCACAGGTGGCGGAGATTGGCAAAAGCACCTCGAGCTTTTGCTATGCGGTTCGTAACCTCATCTTCAATCCCACGGGTGCTAATATAGCTGCCCAGGTACTTGAATTCCTGAACGACTTCTAGCAGATCACCACCAAGCGTTAGCGCAGGGTTGGGTCCCTGCCAATCTTGGAGAAGTAGTTTGCATTTCGATGGAGCAAAGCATAGCCCAAAACGATTGACAGCCAGTGCTAATCGGTCCAGTCTTCTTTGGCATGTTTGGGGGCTGTCACAGATTAGGGCAATATCGTCCGCATACTCTAAGTCAAGAAATCGCTCACCAGGAAGTAGCTCCACACCTTCCAGGTCGTGTCCAGCGAACGCTGTTTCCATGACTTCATCAATAGCGAAGTTGAAGAGGAAAAGTGACAGCAGGCATCCTTGTCTCACACCGCTGGTGATCCTGAAGGGTGGCGAGAGTTTGCCATAAACCCTCACCCTGCCTGAACTATGCGCGTACAGCGCTATGATAATGTTTACATATTTATCAGGCACACCTTTCCTCAGCAGACAGTCCCAAAGGGCACATCGATCGACTGAGTTGAAGGCACCTTTTATGTCAAAAAACACGACAACGGTGGGTCGCCAATAAACATGGCGGTGCTCCAACACTTGACGCAATGTGAAGATGTGATCGATGCAGCCCTGAGCTCGACGAAACCCGGCTTGCTCTTCACGAATCTGGCTTTCACGAGTGTCAGTCAGTCTGTGGAGAATGATAGAGGCAAGCAATTTAGAGGCAATCGAAATCAGACTGATCCCTCTATGATTGCCGCATTCCAAACGGGAGCCTCCCTTGAAAATTGGGACAATGACGGAGCGGTTCCAGTCTGTCGGGACTGTCTCCTGCTCCCAAAGTTTTACTAGCAACTCGTGTATTTCATTTATTAGAGCAGGCCCCCGAATTTGAAGAAGGCTGGGGGAATTCTATCTGCCCCTGTGGCATTATGCAATTTCAACAGTCTGATCTCACGTTCGACCTCTGCGCGTCAAGGCGGATACGAGGAGACGGCCCAAGGAGAAGGGCGCTCAATGCCCGAAGAAGAAAGCGATAACTCAGGTTGGTTAAATTGCCTTGCAAAGTGTTCAGCCCAACGCTCCAAGCGTTTTGACAAGCTGTGGATCGGCTGCCCACTCTCGTCGCGTATGGTCTCGCTAACACCAGGTCTCCTGCTGCCTGTTTCCTGTATCAGACGGAATAACTTACGATGATTACCCACGGTAGCGACTGTTTCCATCTCAGAGGCACGATGAGACCACCAGGTTTCGCGGTCCTTCCTAAGGCTAGCACGTAGTTTTGCCCTGAGACTTTTGCGAGCCTCATTGTATTCGCTTCCAGCCGGAATACGTCGGCGAGCATCCAAAAGTTCAATAGACTGTGTAGAGACCCAATGTTCGGTTTGGCAATTTGCTTTGCTACATGAAGACATGCCTGCTGACAGTAACGTTTGACGAATATGCAACCAGTGATCTTCAACGGTGTTTAGTGGGCGCTCACCCAGCCCAGATGTCAGTGCTCTAAGGTATACATTCAGAACATCTGGCTTCACCAGCTGGCTGGTGTCAATCCGTTCACATCGACGTTGCGGACGTCCACCGAAACGCATCAGGAGGTCGGCACAGACAAGTGCATGGTCAGAGTCCCGGCTCGTGCTCCAAATCGAGCGACAATTTTGGACACAGCCTCTCCAGAGGTAACTGATCGCGATATGATCGATTTGCGTCCATGGTTGGCCCGAGGCTGGTGGCCGCCAAGTCACGCTTCTGCGGGTGCTGTGTCGAAAGTTAGTGCTCGCGAGAAAGAGGCGAGCATCTTCACACAGCTGTAGCAATCGCTCACCATTATCATTACGGGAGCCCACACCATGTTGGCCGCCCAGATGAAGCTCACCAGAGGGCAATTTTCCGACTTGGGCATTTAGATCGCCAGCCAACACCACAGTATCCGTGCTTCTTCTGTAACGAAGGAGCTCGTGAAGTTGCTGATAGAAGTCATCTTTTACCGAATCAGTGCTACAGTTTGTAGGGGTATAAGCCGCAATGACAAACAGGCAACGTTTGTTCCAGTGCGACTTCGTAGCACGGAACGAACCAGCTAATCTAACGGCGCACATCCTACTGTTTACTGGGATCCAACTGATCAGGGCAGCTTCAGCCCGGGGACTCAAAACAATGCCGACGCCAGCTTGACCGGCATTTGAAGCTGCATCATCGCTAGACAGGCGCAATGAGAATGTGTCGCTAGTGTCGCATGTGAGGGATCTTAGGGTAAGCA